AATTTGATTAATTTTTATACCTTTTACTTTCATAATAGTAAATTTTTTTTTGCTTTTGACTCTAATTTATTTATGGATTATTTTAATGTTTAAAATTAAAAAAATATATTTTTCATTTTTAATTATAAATTATACTTCATTTAAATATCATTTCAATGCACAAAAAATTCTTTAAAATGCAAACTTTAATTTCGAAATTTAAAACTCTCTCATAAGTTGTAGTCGTTCTTTGGTTATTGTGCCTCAGGCAATTTGGATTCATTGTTAAGCTTTTCTTCATACTAAAAAAAAAATTTTTCATCGAGGTCATAGTAAAAATACTTGTATGTCACATGTTTTAAAAATAAAAACGTTTTATCATAACTTATATTTATAACTATATAAGGCTACACCAAACGCAGGATTAAAAAATTAATTAATATATCATTTACACATTTAAAAAAATTTCTAATGAAATTTTCATTCAAATACATAATAAATCATTGATAATAATAATAATAATTATAATAATCGAGCGTGAATAATAATATTAATTTTTAATCAAGAATTAATGCTAGGTCTAAATCGTAGACTATTTATTTGTGTTTATTACAAAAATTGATTAATTAAAATAACATGAGAAATGCATATACACTATACAAAGATATATATAAATAGTACCTATGTATCTATATTGGTCCTCGAAAGATTTGTCGCCCAAAGCTATTGTTATATGCCGCAAACAAAACAAAAAGGAAATAAAACTTTTTGGACCAAAAATATCAGGAAACAAAAAATTTCAACTATTTTAAACAGATGTTGACAATCGATTCTACAGTTACAAAAGTAAATAAAATTGATTTTTATACGTGCATAGAGTTCAAATTTTTATAGCCGCTTTGTTAGTAGGGCGAGTTATAAACTGTACGTAAATTATAAAATTCATGCTCTACTTAACTTTTAGTATGAAAGAATAAAAAATTATAAAGGAATTATTAATAAGAATTTAAAAAAACACTCGACAATCAAATACTTCCACGTGTAATCATAACAAACAAGTAGAATATATATGTTATCTTTGATGAAAAAAATCGATAAAATGCGGCAAGTATTCTATGGTAACAAGTGTACTGATTTTTATACATGCAAACATATTAACAGTTGAATATCACTATTATTAATGAATTTAAGCAAACAATGATCTATTGTAGCTGTTAAATCAATAAGTGTATAAAAGTACATATATTATTGAATTCTCATAAAATCTTTGTCTCTGTATACCAACTAACACTTTATTATTAATTTAAATGTTATGTGTAAGCGAACTGATCTACTTAGTGTCGAGTCATTCGGTGCTATAACTCCTGAGTAATTCATAATGTAAATTGATTCATAAATATAGTCGTAATGCCCTAATTATAAATTATTTTTATTCTATGATTTTAATTTATTCGTACTTAGATATTTTTAAGATAATGAAGTTTAAGTAAATTAGTTAATTAAAAAATTTTATATTTTTTGACTTTAAATAATATAGATTTTTTTTTTTTTTTATATTAAATAGAACAAGAACGTTAAAAAGTCGAGTATCTTGCTAAAGTGGTTAGAACCTCAACATCGTGGAGAGAAGCCTATAATGACAGTGTAATTCACAATGTGAAGAGTCTAATGCTTAAAGTGGTTATGAAAGAGACAAAAGAACCAGGTTGCTCATCAAGGAGCATATTATTGCCTGATGCCTCTAATGATGATATTAAAACAAGCAAAACAGATTCTTAACACATTATCAAGCTAATTTGAGTCTTCAAAATGGGAAACGGTATGAATAAGGTAAGATTATTAATTATCGGCTTACAAATAAATAAATTTATGAGTGAAATTTATCGATCCAAATAATTACTTTTAAAATCATTGAACTGGTATTGTTAATAAAATCCAAATAAAGTAATTTATACTTGAAACTTATCCGAAATTAATAACTCAGGTGCGAGAGTAAAAATTTCCGATACAGTGACGTAGATGGTTGCATGGCGCCGATTTAGTTGGCTGATTGCCAATTAAACAATACAGTCTTGGGATAATTCATGAGTAGGAAACTCCTGCTCACCATTTAGTTTCAGTTTTGTTTTTGCATTAAGGTACAACAATAATTCAAAAAGTATGTAATATAACGCGATTAGTAATTAGTCCAAAATTTACGGTATGATCCTAAAAATTTCAGTAATTATTTGGAAGTATTTCTATATTTCAACCCAAAAAAAAAATACGAGATTTTTAAAATCCTTTGAACAACATTGTTTCCAAAATCAATAATTATATATAATTACAAATTTTTTTCAGTTAAAGTTCATCATCAAAATGAAATAATTAAAAAAAAAATATCTTTTGAAAATTTTAATTCTTCAATTTAAAAAAAAATTTTTTAATAGCTTTTTATTACACTTACAATACAAACAAAATAAACTATAAATCGTTATGCGACCATATTTTATTAACGATTTTCTGTTGACATATAAAGTTTTTGTTAGCATTGAAAACTTTAAAATTAATAATATGATACAAAAAATTATTTAAAGAAAAAAAGTATTCGAAAATGTCTATTTTTTAATATTTTATTGCCAAAAATAGGTTTTGGACTCCACTTCCAAACAGTTAACAAAATTTAAAACAATTGTAATATTCGTTTTCTAAATGCTTGTTGTCTTAATTCGATCCTATTTATTTTCATTAGATATTGTTCAAAAATTCTGTTTTCTTGAGCATTTTCTTCTTTTTGAATAAATCCTTTTTTTTGTAGACGTTGTAATCGATTGAGTTATCATATCTATCGTTGTTGATATCAATGGTGCTGTAGTAGTAGCTACTGTTGAACTAATCTCAGTTGTTGTAAAAACAGAGTTTAACTTAAAAATACTAGGATTAAGATCTACATTAATATCGGCAAATCTCCTTCCACCGAAAGAATTTTCTACATCAACACTACTTTTACATTTCGCTCTTTTCCTTTTTTTACAGCAATATTTACTGCGTTTAACACGCTGTTTTGATTTTTTACAATCATTATTGCTATCATCATCATTACCACCACGATCATTACCTGTACAGTCATCATCAACACGGTCATATACAATTTTTCCAGGCATCGCTTTTTCAATAATATGATTTATCTGGTAAACTAATTTCCGACGAATATTATCAGGTAATGTTTTCCATTTTTTACATACCGTCATTCCATAAAAACAATCAAAATCATCATCATCCATAATTCTGACAGTTATCTCACCTGCTTGAAAACGATTATTGGGAACAGAAGAATTGATAATTGAATTTGTCACGTCTTTTCGTTGACGGTGAGCACTAGGCGCTACCAGCACACTTAATACTGTGGGTGGATTATCTAGACGTTTTTTCCAGGTTGTATCAATCGATTGGTGAGTACTCGTTAAGTTCACAACCAATTTTATTTTTTTATTATTCTTTGACATTGAATGCATTTTTTCACGTTCAGTTACTTCTGACTTGTTCTGATAATTAACAATGCCCTTCAAACTTTTCTCCGGTCCAAGAGTTATTGTAGCCGAGGGAAAAGCTTTTTTCGTTCCCTGGACACTTAAATTATTATTACTATTACTATAAGTCACAAAAGTATTATTGTCATCTTTCAAAAACATGGATCTGTAATCAACCTCAAAATTTTTATTCGATGATAAATTGTCATTTGTACTCAGCGTTTTATTTATACTACTTAAGTCTTCAATAGTTGCATCTTGATTGTTTGCATGATTTTTTCCAACTATTTTCAATGCACTTTCAGTATTATAAAGTCTAGTCGTTAAATCTGAAGATGACTGATTATCATATACGATATTATCAAGTGACTCTACAAAAGATTTTTTAATTGTAATATAAATACCAAAGAAGATACAATAATACTTAAAAATTTTAAAGAACATCTTTTAGTTATTTGTTAATACTAACTGAAATGTACCTCGTGTTCACCTATTGACATACTTTCAATCATTGTTTTTAACTTTAAATTTATTGTTGTTTTATAAATAGTTAATTGAATTACTCTATAAAATAACGGTTTATATATTTTTTTATTGCGTTCAGGTCATTTAATATTAAACGTACCGTAGAGCTTAAATTGTAAATAAATTTTTTCAATTAACAAAGATAAAAGATAGCCCTCGAGATTATATTATTATCACTTATTACATGTCTTGCATGATTTATGATTAGCATGATAAAAATTTAGCTTCTGTCACTAATGTAAACACGTCATTTTATATTCATTAATAAATATTATATCAACCATCAAGATTTATGTTGACCTGAATATACTTATTATTTATAATTAATATTTGATATTAAATTTTGTTTCTTGGTCGAGTGGTTAGTGTACTTCCAATGAAACTATTAACTATATCAGGGGTATGGGCTCGAACTTTATTAGTTATAGAATTTTTCGTAAAGAAGTTAAATTGGGTGGATCGATCAAGACTAATCAACTAGGAAGTATAAATGAAACATTGAAAGGCGGTACATGCAATTGACACATCAATTTATTTAATTTTATCCATAGTAATTAAATTAACCCCTAAATAGTCACTAAGCGCGACCAAAAAATTTTGGTCAAGTGATGAGAAAAATCTCGCGAATACCTAATATTTTTTTTCAAGAAATTTTTTTTTAATCACAGATACGCTTGGGCAGATTAGCTGTAATCACAATATTTATTAAATTTAATTGCTACTGACTTTATTATCAAGCCTTGTTTAATCTCTTACGAGTGAAGTGAAAAATATAGAAACATTTCCAAGTGTTTTTAATAGTTTTGTATTTTTAAATAAGCTTGACAAAATGATTTAATACTAGAGAAGAAATAATTTATCTCATTCTATAGTTAAATATTAAATACACATCAGATTAAAAAATTTAACTTAACTTTGTATAACTTTATCATGAATAACCAACATCCAACTATTGATTTATTTAAAAAATATTATTTTTGTATATAGGTTTTACCAGGTCTGTATGTTGGTAATTATCGAGACAGTAAAGATGAAGCGCAATTGAAACGATTTGAAATCACGCACATATTGGCAATACATGATGCAGCACGGCGACTTCATTCCGTAAGTAAAATCGATTTGCAATAAATTTATTAATATTATAATAATAACAATAAAAAAACGAATGAATTAGATTTAATTAAAATTGAAATAATTTGTATTTTTTCTATTCTAGGACAAACACTATCTCTGTATTTTAGCGGCCGATACGCCCGATCAAAATCTCACTCAATATTTCTCTCTTTGCAATGACTTCATTCACGCGGCTCGTCTTCGGGGTGGTAACGTCCTGATACATTGGTAATTTTTTATTTAATTTTCTTATAAATAAATAACAAAAATGTGTGTGTTGTCTAAATTAAATAAAAAAAGTCAATAAAAGACAATTTGAATAATTTTTAGCCTGGCAGGAATGTCAAGAAGTGTGACAGTTGCGGTTGCTTATATCATGAGTATCACAAATCTTTCGTGGAAAGAAGCACTCAAAGTAGTAAGAGTAGGTCGAGCTGTCGCAAATCCTAATGTTGGATTTCAACAACAACTACAAGACTTCGAATCGACTCGTTTAGCCGATGTAAATATCTATACAAATATTTTTATGTAGTTTTTAGGCCCAAAAAGCATATCTTAAATGCGTATATTCATTTTTACTGAGAAAATGCAATAATAATCAAAATTATTATAAAACAAATCTGAAACTGATAAAAAGTAATAAAAAAAAAATCCAATTTAAAGATATGCAGTATAAAAATTTATATAAAGAGTAATTAAATGAAATTAATTTGAAATAAAAATAAAAGGAACGGAAGAGATTGAGAGAACGATTTCCAAGTCTTGCATTAACAGCATCCGATGCAGAACTTTGCAGAGCAACTCTCCGAAACTACGAAACACTAGCAATGGCTAGAGAAGTTTGTGAAGGAAAGTGTGCGATGGGTAGACCATGCCCCAGTGGAATGTGTAGACAACCTTCTAAAAGGTAATATATATTCTAGGGGGTCACAAATAAATTGATTAATTATTATTTTTCGACAAAATATAAAATTTCAAAGTATAAATAATTTATTTTCAGTTAAAATTTAAGCATAGCATCACAATGTTTAAATCATTTGAAAAGAAGTAATTAATCGATCTCTTTTGACACGCCCTAACATACACTCTAATGAATAAGAATTGATTAGTAGTTGAAGATTTTAGAATGATTAACAACAACAAAAAATACGGTAATCATTTGGAAGTAGGTCTACAAAATTTTAACTTATAACAATGATGATAAGAATTTTTTTTTAAATTAACAATTACATTTTTTTCATAAATTTCATTAAAAATATAATAGTTTTTTAAAAATTCAATAATGCCAATTTTTCGATTTAAAAAAAATTTTTTTTGAAAAAATTATTAAAAAATTCACATATTCGAGATTTTTCTTTTTAAATCGTTTGTTTTAATTTGTAAAATACAAAAAAATAAACGACGAATCACTGGACTTATGTGAACACATTTTATCAACGATTTATAGTCAACAAATAATTTTTGTTAACACTGAAATAGAATAATGAAAAGAAAAAAAAATTGAATAATATCTATTTTTCGATGTTTTATAGCAGAAAATAAGGCGAACCCCACTTCCAAATACTTATCAAAAATACTTTCGAGTTTTTTATATTATTTGTTTTCATACGTGAAACGTGAATAAAGATTTAAATCATATCACAAGAAAAACATAAATTTTAAATCTCAATACACTTGAATTTATTATAGTCAACTATTGTAATTGTAGTACTAATATTATTTATTATTTATTGCAATTGATATCAAAAGTAAAACTTGGATTCACGTCCACAGTATAATAAACTGTGAAATAGCAGCGACATGGCAAGTAGTGGTATTTTTATTAAATTAAAATATTTAACAATCGTAATATATTCATAATGAATGTGAAAATTTTATGAGTATGATTGTAGTAGATGTTTGACAATTTTTTAAAGTACGTCTTATAAATAATTAAATCATTACGAAAACAACAATAAAAAAATACAATCGGCAATTTTTAAAAACTCTTCTTGCGTGTCCTGTCTTAAATTTATTTAAAAATTTTATAAAATGAGTTGTCTGCTAATTTCATGCGAATAGAATTTTTAGCATTTATATTTCGACAGCAGTCGTGATCCTGTTTAGTTACTGTTTTTAAATAATAATACATTTAAACAATAAATAATCATACTGCAATTACAATAGGAAAATAAAACGATAGCTAGTAACTAGTTGTTTATAGATAAAAAAAAAGTACTTTTTAATTCTAGGACATTAAGACGAAAATCATCAACCAGCAGTACCGGTAGCTCTGGCTCTGGAAGAACACCCCCGCAAACTCCTCGACTTTTACCATCAGCACCACCTTCACCAGCCCTACCGCGATCAGCTAGTGTTATTTCAGCAAACATTAGACCTAGAAGTGGACCTGCCGGATTGCATTCATACACTGGTTCTGCGCCTCCATCTCGGTAATAATATAACAAAATTATCAATTATTAAAACAAATATATATATATAACTGATGACTTGAATATTTGATGAATTAATGAATAAATAATATTATTAGGGCTGTATCAAGAGTTGATCTATCGGCGGCTGTTGCTTGCAGTAGTGGTAGTAGCTTAAGTTTGACGACAGTTGGAAGAACTACTCCAATGGCTCCAACTAGAAGTACTAATTACCATAACCGACTATCAGCTGGATCAGCACCAGTAACACCCAGAACAACTCCTCCAATATCTCCTCAACATTGGCCCCGACGACAAACTCCTCAATTACCAGTTCCACCAGAATCTTCATCATCAGTGACGTAACGACGTGACAGCTTCGGAAAAATATTGATGACATAATAGTTTTAATATTTAATGTAATTACATTATTTCACAGTGAATTTTATCCATGTTTTAAACTCATGATACTCAAAAAAGATTTTACCGATTTTATCGAGTACATTATTGTTTATAGTGTCAGCTTAATTTGGTTGCCGCTGCAACCTTGACGATAATTCGAATTGACTTTTATTAAAACTTGAAAGCTTCAACGATAATCTCTGTTTACTTGAAAAAACGCTCACTGTCTATTGTAAATGATACTGAAATCAAAAGAAACTTGACCATTTTTTGATTTTATTTAAAAAATAAATTAAGACTCGGAAAATATATCAAATATTGTATTCAGTTCTTTTTTTTTTTTTTTTTTATTTCTACGTGTGGTATTTTTAAAAAATTTTCTTTATGATAATTTAGTTGTTAAAAAAATTCTAAAAATTCTCAGATCTCTATTGAGAGATGATACTGAAATTGTTCAGTATCATCATTGGAAATATACTTTGATTGTTAATGTAGCTGATAAATTTCTAAAAAGCAAAGCGATTTTTTGTTTTGATATTTTAATGGTGAAATTTTAAATATTGAAATAGTGAGCGCTATTCAACGTGGGTGCATATAACCATTTAATTGTTATTTTGATAATACCTAGTTGTTATTTGTAATAGGTAGGTATTTAATTATTGAAATTAATGATCTCAGTAACAGATCGAAATCAAGGTAAATGGGTGTATTAATTAATATATAAAACGTTATAATGTTGCTAAAAACGGTGTGCAAACATAATGATAAACGTTTTACAACATGACCGTCCAAAAGTTTGTTGGTTTTTTTGATGTATTACAGTAAGGAAAGCTGTTGTTATACACAATAAAAGTATAAATTTGTTGAAACAGATTTGTGAAAATTTTACAACTTGAAAAATTGAAACATACAGTGAATATTAAAAAAAAAAAAAAAGAAGATATAATGTTAAACGGTGCTATTGCAATTTGAATTTTGAATTGAAGAAAGCAATGTATTTATTAGGGACATTACACGGCTATAGGATCTAAACACAATGACTAATAACTTTTGGAAGTATCTACATCACTTCTATAGATTCCATGCACTTACATGTAAATTATATATCTATTCTAAGTTATAAACACTTTGTAAGGTATAAAGTATCATTTATTTTACAAGCAGTCGATTAATTTTTTTAATTGTTGGAAATGAAGGTAGTTATAGAAAAATTGTAACTACTTATTAAAACTATTGTGGTAAAAAATATTGATCTCAACGAGTAATTTGCTACTTAATAATTATAGCAATATATGAAAAAAAAAAAAAAAAAAAAAAAATTATAAATAACATGCTGTTATTTGACGAAAAATTAATATAAATATTAGGATAATAAATATACATTTTTTTATAACTAGGTGTGTCGATCTGACTTTAAAAAAGTAAAGAAATAAATTAACCTTAGACATAAATGTGATTATAAATTAATGGTACAACGGAAAATAACTTAAAAACATGATTAATTAATTAAAATACTAGAACTTAAATTTCACTGTAGATTAAGTTAATTTTTTAAGCAAATAGAGGCAATGCAAGTCATTTCATAAACATTTTTTGTTTTTAAATATGATTATTTGATGATTTAGTTGCCTTTACTTTAATGTTTCTCATAAATCGAAGTTATCGTTCAATTGAAAATAAGGTGACGGTAAATTAAAATGCTGCATCATGGCTGTGTTTAATTATTTAAATTCACATTATCGTGAATAGTCTATAACCAAGTATAATAATTTGTTAAAAGTTAAAAATATATAAAAATTGTTTTAAAAAGATACTCATGATTTTAATTAATGATATAATATCATACACTGTTATAATCATAAAGTGTTATAATTAAATAAACGTATATTTTGCATAAATCTTAATAGGTCTGTGATCTGTGATGTATATTAGAATCATCGCAAATCATGTTCCCATTTCATCAAAAAGCAATCTATTTTCCATAACATATCAAACGATGATAATTAAGATAAAAATAATTATAATAAAGCCGATATTGCAATTGCATTGAATATGTATGTAAATAAGATATATGTTAAATTGTTTAATTTAACATAACAATCCAAATCAGATAGCTTTCAGATTTTAACTATTTAAAATTAGGTGATAATTACTGATAGGTTAGTAATTCAAGTTTTCTTCTAATATTTATTTCAATATTTCATTGTTCATCATTTGATATGTCGACTTATTTTATCAGTTCAGACAATGACAAAAGTTCATGAAATCTGTGGTTGAAGAAATTTATGGAATGATACAATATTTATTTATAAAATGTGTACACTTCATTATAAACATATTGAACAAAATTTTTTTATACAGCAATAATCAAGTTTAATTTCAGAACAAAATTTTACTATATTACATTACTATATTTGTAAATCACATTACATATTTTTATGGAAATTTAAAACAATGTTGAAATGTAAATAAAATATTTTAATTTATGTGTTACGTGCTTTTAATGAGTGATAATTATTTTTCCCTGAAATTTTAATGTACATAATTGTAATATTGATATTATTGATACTAATTAAATAATCATATCTCAATTCTTTTGAAGTATCAGTATAAACTCTGTTTTTTTTTTTTTTTTTTATTTTGATAATTTTACATCTTATAAGTTGAAAAAAAAAAAAATTTTTTTTAAGAAAACAATTCATTTATGTATTATTTTATCATGAATAATAAAAAATCAATTTTCTCTTTATAATATAGTTTTTAATAACAAATGAGTGAATTACTCTTCAATTTTTCTTTAAACAAAATACGGGGATTTGAATTATCGAAAAAATTTTTATCAAGCAACACGGAGTTTATTAAAAAAAAATAACTTTAGAATCTCCTCACAATCAAGTCAGAAATAATTATTTATTGGTATTTTCCATTCTTTGGTAAGGAATTAAATTGTTACAAATTAGATAATATATTAAAATTTTTACTGTTGGTTAAAATTTATATAATTATATATGAAAAAAATTATGAAATTGAAATTTATACGAACTTTTTGATGTTAATATTATTTTAATATTTATCAATCAACTGTGCTCTAAATACCAAATGCTAATTGAATGATTAAAAAAATTTTTTGTGCTTTCATGATGGAATTTCATTATTGTACGACATAGTTTTATTTATAATTTTGTTTAAATTGTTATTACGCCAATCTAAAGTTATATTATCCAAATGATTGTCAAAATCAAACAGAATGTTATACTTATTTTCTTTCATCAAAGTAGATATTGTTTCTACAGCAGCATCTCCACCTTCATACGAAACACTAAAATAAAAAATTATGAAAATTATAAATCAACCAAAATTAAATGTTTATTAAATTTTATGGCTTATCCAGAGAAGTTATATATTTATCGTTTGACAGTAAAAACAAAGCTTTGTAAGGTCGCTAATAACCGATTAGTTGATGCAATCATAAGTAATAACGAAGAAACAAGCTTTGTAACCAAATAGGAAAATTCAAAGACAAAAGCTTAAAATCATTTTTTTAATAATCAATAAAATTAAGGTCTTAAATAAATGAATGAATCAATAAAAAATTTAATCTTAAAAGCTTAAATAATTTTGCCTTAAAACCAGAAAAAATATATTGTAATTTAATTACAGAAAAGTACTTACTCAGCTTTATCTTTGACTTTCCATTTTCCATCAGAATGTTGTGAAATTTTAAGTGGAATAGAATTCATATTGCACGTCATTTCTTTATTATCTACAACAACTAATAAAGCATTGTTAAAATTTTCGGCTATTTTATCTGCTATCTTATGAGCTGGTTTATCCGTACTGAAATAAATGTTAATATTTTTTATTATTTGCATTTAAAAAAATAAAATGACATTTTACTTTTTAGAAAAATCATTTTTATACCTCATGTCATTAACTAATTCATTAGCTAAATAATAACCCGCAATCACCATTTCATTTTGCTCCGCAAATTGATCTACCTATGAACAATATAAATAAATTTTAAATTAGTTATTTAATTTAATAGATTAAAAAAAAAAAAATGAATAATTACCAGGGTAAGAGCTATTTCTGCCATTGGAGACACATGTAAACATTGATGAAAAAGTGGAATAGCATCTTGAATATAAATATCTGTTAGTTTCATATCATTTTTGTTTTTTTGTTTGGCTAATAAAAGTCCATTTATGGCACAGTGCGGGTATTTTGTCGCATGTAAAATTATTTTACTACAAGCTCGTGGAGAAAATGTAACTTTTGACATTTTTTAAATTTGCAATAAACTACTTAACTACTTTATGTTAAACTATATTGGTCAAATTGTACTTATATAAATATAAATATGTAATAAGTTTCAATTTTAATATACTGTATTTGTTCGATATTTATTAACCTCACTTGTATTTAATTAGTTTATAATTTTATATAAATTTAATGGTTTTTTTTGTATTCTCTCAACGTGAGGAACAACGTTCATTTAATTTATATACACAGATAAATAACACTATATATTTCTGTTTTGTCCCTTTTCGACTAGTATCCCGGATAGGCCACGTAAGTACGTACACATATACTACTTAAAAATAAAAGTTCTGAGCATGCTTATGGTGGCGCTGTAAGAGTATGCAATATGTACTTACGTTCGTTTCACACACGAATAATTAAATACAAGAATAGTAGATAGGTATATACAACGCCGTTTGACATAAAAACACAACACAACAAACTTTTATGAATGACAGATAATTTAAAAGATATTTACAAAATAATCAATAATGTTTGCTTTTTTATCAAAAATATTTATATTCTTTTTTCTCTCTTTGGTAATTAATAAATAATGGATAATATTTCCGATAAATCAGATATTGATGTTAATAAAATTAGTGAATCAATTGAAAATTTTGAAGACCTGGATAATATTTTGCTCGGTGATAGCCGAAAAAAACAAAATTTATTTGGAATTGAAAGGACTAAAGAAAACGTAAAGGGAACTCAAAAAAAAGTTGCTTTCCAAGGTAAATTATCTCAAGTACTTTAAAAGATTTATTTTTTACTAATTTTTTTCTTAATTTTTAGATTTTGATGACGATCTTTTGGGAGATTTGTTGAGTGACAGCTATGAGTTGAATAAAAATAAACTTTTAAGTAACAATGACAATAAGATAGGAGATTTATTTGGAACTAAAAGTACAGAAAAATTAAAGTATGATACGGGAATATCAAAAAATACTGAAGTTAATGTAGTGTTAAGTAAAAATGAACCAAACAGCTTATTGAACGATAGTTTAGAAATAAATAAAACAACGACGATTGTAGGACAATCGACAACACCAAATTCTTTTGAAAATTCACATAATGCTTTAGGCACTTTTTCAAATTCAAATCGACCAGACAGAACTAAGAAATCATCAATAATGGAGGATTTATTTGGATCTAAACCACGAGCGATTGCTTCTAATGAAAGTAATCTTGATAAACCTGTAACAAGAAATGTTGGTTCTGAAGAATCAATTGCGTCTTCAAAGCCATTCGTGCTTTCTACTGCTGGTAGTCGAGAATCGAGAAGACCTAGGCCAAAATCCATAAATATTAATGATCCTTTAGGAATTTTAGGCATACAAGATACTACTCAATCAAAAGAAGTATGTCAGTTATCAAGTTTAATAAACTAAGTAATGTAAATTATAAACTTATTATTTTTTTATGCTTTTAGGAAAATCCAAAACAACAGATAGTAACAAATACTAATGATGATTTATCAAATGATTTACCAGAATGGCTTACCAGCGGTAAGAAAAAGACGAATAATGAAAATAACAAACAAATGAACAATCCTACATTAAAGACTGATAAATCCGATGTACAAAATAGCATTGATAATGCTAAACCGCCAATTTTAAACCAAGACAATTTATTACAAAGAAATACAATATCTCTACCAGATATTTCTTCGTTAACGAATACACAGTTTGATCCTCAAATTTCCATTGTTGCAATGCAAGAACAAGAACATAAGTTGCGAGCTGCCACACTTTTATCTCAACAAACTTATCAATTAAATAATATTGTCGAAAATCAGAAGAGTAAATTGAATGATCAAGAAAAAATATTTGATACTTTCATTAAACAACAAATTGACCGACAATCAATGCTTGAAACTCAAATTAAATTACAACAAGCACGAATAGATCATTATATTCAAGTATTATATTATATTCTATATGGTATTTATTTAAAACTAAAACAATGTTTTTTTTTTTTTTTTCAAATTTTTCTATTTTTAGGCACTTTCAACACAAAAAATGACACTGCCTTCAGGTGTACCATTTGAAAATAAAGATTCAATATCAATGACTGATAAACAAAATGATGAAAAATTAGAATCCGAATATTTGATACATACTCTGGAAATAAAGAAAGATAATTTAGAGCACTTAGCAGACATTATGAAGGATAAAAATGAACGAGAAATTAAAATTTTAGAAGATTCTCACGAGTAATTTTGAAAAATTTTTATTTTATTAACTTTACTTGAGTTTATTTTATTAGCTTTTACTAATTACGTGTTGAGTAGTGTCATAAAGATAAAGTAAATTGCGAGCTTCTGAACATTTTTCATTTTATCAGAATTTACCAGAATTTATTTTTATTTCTATAATTAATAATTTATTGTAATTTTAGGACGCAAATGCGATTAATGCAAGAAAGTATCGATAAACTGGAAAAGAGATTTCGTCAACAAATCGAAGAAATTGAACATGATTATGAGAAAAGAATAGAAAAGTTGTTGAATGAAAAAAATCAACAAGAAATATACTTCAAAGAACAAATAGAAAACCTCAAAGTATGTATTTAATTTAAAGAGAAAAACAAATTTATTCATTCATTTATCTCAACGAAATAAGTGTTTCATTTTTGATTCTAGACAGATCACGATAAAGCTATTAAAGATATTCACATTAGACACTCACAGCAAATCGATTTATTGCAAAAAGAACACATTATAACATTAGAAAATATTTCTCGTGCCAAAGAAGTCGAACAACAGACCGTTGATTTCATTAAATCTCATAAAATAGATGTCAACAGTATGTTAGAACGGGTACAAAAAGTTTCTGATGGGTTTGAAACTCTGTATGATCAAGTAAGGAATCGAGATACTGATGGTATTATTAAACGGGAGAATAGTTTAAAAAAACAAGAAGAAACTTTAAAAGGTATGTTTCAATCATTTCTATCCAAATAATTTTGATAATATTAATTACGAATAAACTCGTTTTAATAATTATATCTTTTAACGATAAAATAGCGCTGATGGAACAATTGAATACTCAACAAGAAGTATTGAACGGTGAAAGAAAGCAGCTAGTAATTATTGCTCAAAAATTAGAGTCTGATACAAATGAATTAACCCATCAATTTGTAGAAAATAATAAATCGATCAATGAAAGAGAAACAAGATTGGATTTGCAAGAAAAATCTTTAATAAACGAAAGAAATTTATTTCAAGAACAAATAAAGTGGGAACGAGAACATATACAGGTAAATTAAAAAAAAAAAATGTATTTCTTTTTTTTTTAATGGATTATATTAAACACAATTTAATTTATGCCTCTGAATAGTGTTTAAAAGAAGCATGGATAGCAGAACAAAAACAACAGTTACATCTACTAGCGAACGAAAGAGAAGCTGTAGCCGCAGAAAGAGCTAAACTTGAAGTGTTTAATAATTTAAAATTTAATTCCGACGATATCGTTAAAACTGAGGTTTGTCAACACCTCAAATAACTTATAGTAATTTATGTATTATCATATTATCAATCATTCAAATTTGTTAATCACTATGTTTTTGCAGTTAGAGGCAGCCATAAAAGCCGCACATGAAGCAACTCATCAAGCAAATGAGGAGCGACGAAGGTGGCAAGAAAAATCAGAACTTCTTTTAACAGAACATCGTCGAAATGAAGCGAAAGAAAGACAATTAATGCAAACTGCTAAAGATTTAGAAGAACTTACTCAGGTTTTATATTTGTTTAAAATATATTTTTAGAATAGTTAATTTATAATAAAGATATTCGACAAAAACGAATCATATAATCAGGTATGGACGTATATGGTCATAAAAATATTAAAAAATTTCGAATGTGAATTATCAAATAAATTAAAACCATAATTGACTTAATTAGAAATTTTTATAACTTATACATATTGCTTTAACTTTATAACTTTTGCGATTCCAGTTTTTTTTTCTTTTTATGTGGTCAAGCGTCGTAGCCTGATATGGACGTAATTATAAATAAGCTTCGTTTTGCACTTTTATGATTTGAATTTAGTTGTTATAATGATTATAATGATCGATTTATCTTATAATTTGTATTTAAGAATTTTTTAATGTGTGTAAATGATCATATGTGTTCAAGCAAAATTCATCTATGATTAGATATATTACTCATTTTGCTCGGGATTTTAAAGCTATTAAATTTTTATTGATATAAAATATAGTTCTGTTAAAAAAACAAAAAAAAAAAAAAAAAAAAAAAAGAAATGATCAACAAATTTTTTAGCACTCTTAAGAAAATGATTATCTTGTTTAATAAATTGAAGGAAATAAAAAAATTTTTTTTTTAATTCAATAAAATTTTAGGCAGCTGTTATTAAACGTGAAGAGGGTATGCAAGCACTAAGAGAAGCACAACGTATTGAAAAACAACATAAAGATCGATTAAATCAATTACAATTACAACTTGAAGCTGTAGCAGAGAGAGAAAATAAAATTGCTGCCGAAAAAATAGCATTAGCAAGGTATTTCTTGTTTGCTTTTAAATTAATCAAATATTTTTATTTAAATTATCATGTAAACAGTATATCCAATACAAAAAATTAATACATTAAAGATGAAAAAGTGCTCTCATTCTTGTTTTCAGAGAAAGACTGTCATTAAGAGTATATCAAGCTGAAGCACCAGAAAAAGATGTAATGAATGACTCATATTGTAGTCAAATAAAAGATTCAATATACACTATTTCTCCACAAATACAAACACATTTTAAGGTAAATTAATATAAAACGCAACTATAATATGAATGATATTTAAATAATAATCTTTCATATATTTGTCTAGGATATAGTTGATCCCAAACTCTTACTTTTGAAGTTAAACTTGGACAATAAATTTGATAAATCTCACCAATTACTTAGTGACATGCAAGATTTAATATAAATCATTAATAATCAAAAAGTCTAATCATCTCTAGTTTACATCATTCCTGAATCGATTCCAAGAATAGATTTTCTACAAAAAAAATAAAAAAAAAAATAAATGAATTAATAATTTGTAAATAAATTTGTTATAAACAATTATTGGATTACCATTTATACTTGTATCTAATAGAGTAACTGAAGAATTTTCAAAAATATTAAAATTATTAATCATTACTTCTACATTGTCTGTTATAAATTTACAATTTCGAATATCTTTCTTTAAGTCTTGAATACATCGTTGCTGAAATCATAAAAAATCATTAAATTACTCAACAGTTTTGTCAATTCATTATTTGATTACTATAAAAGACTGTAATTAATAACAATAAACTATATTTTAATATTTCTTTGAATATTTCAGTCAACTTTAATTGTTAGCTGAATGAAATATTATAAATATGATAATAACTTTCGAACAGCTCAAATGAATTTACGATTTGAAATTACTATAAAAGTTTTAAAAAATAAAAAATTAGTTAATTATAAGTAAATGTAACTATTATATAAAGTAAACTTACCACCCAAGTACTTATCCTAGGAGGTATTAAGTTTATATTCGATTTAGTATTTGTATCCATGTCCAAGTAATTTACAAATGTCATGGTGTCTGTTATAAAACCAGTTGTTGCACTAAAAAAAAAACATTTAAATTGAAAAATATCTTCAAGCAAAATTATAAATGTCATATACTCACTTATGTTCAATATGAGATATTGGTAGTTTGATTTCATTATGTGAATCAGAAATTTTTTGAATTCCATGTTCATAAGATTCTATTGAAATTAATGCATCATTCGTTCGTTCTGATTTATTTTCACTCATATCTGAAATTTAAACAATTATAACTTTGGTAAAATTTAATCATTACTTGGCGATGGTAAAAAAAAAGTTGTTTGTAAACAAAATTATAACCTATTAAATTTTTTGCACCATCAAAATGATCATTTATGTCACTGATTTGTAAATTGTTTTCTTCGTTTATAATAACGTGTTGATTGTTTTTAAATTCACTTAAATTACTTAAAATATCGTTTAATGATTCCATTATTTACTGATTTTTTCTGATTAAATTTCCTTGAAAAGGTCAACAAAAGAATTGGAGGCGAAGCCCAAGAACGTCGTTGAAATTCACTACTAATGTGTGTTGGATAGTGTCGAAATCGAAATCAAATGTATTACTTCGAAAAGATATGTTGGTCGAAGCATAAATCAAATTAAAAATTTTTTAAGCTGTTCATAAAACAATGGTAATTTAAAATTTTTATTTCTTAGATATATTGTTAAAATATGAATTTTAATATTAAAATTGTTTAAATGTTTGATATTGCGCGGGCAATATTACGGGCGCGTTGTATGTAATTTCTACAGTAATCCAGACTGTGATGCACCCAGTGACGCTACCTGTTATTAGAGCGCTATCTATTATGAGAGCGCGAATTCAAACGAGATATTCAAACTAGTAAATATTAAATGATTAAAATTAGTTAAATTTTATATTCGAAGTAAATATTCCAGTCCTTTATTTAATGCTTTTACTCTTACCAGTTGTAAAATAAACATCTTTTGGTTAACTCTGTTTTATTTACAAAAGAAAATAAAATAAAATAAAAAAAAACATATTTCGATACAAAGGTACATTGTAACCGAATTTTCAAAACCCATAAAAAGTACTTGAGTAATTCAAGGACTTTCTCGCCAGATGAAACTTAAAACCCTATGAGGAAAAGTCGTAAAAGACACGTGTGAAATTCAATAGACCCTTGTTCTAAAGTAACAAAGAATAATAAAAAAAAGCATATGTAACTAAACAAAAAAGTAATATTGTTAAATAACATTTACTGTTAAAATCTAACTTTATATAATATTGTAGTTAAGAACAAAAATTGTCAAATGCCTGCTAATTTCAGTGTCATAAAAATTTTTATTAAAATTAGATTTTTTGAAAATTTTGTTTTTAAAATTTGCAAAATTTTTTATTAATTTAACAAGTATACATTTTTGTTTTTAATAATTAAAAAAAATGAGTTTCATAAATTTACTTTATAACTAACCTCCAGAAAATCTTATTAAATAATTTAATCTCTTAAAATTTTCGAGATATTAATTAACAATTATTTAAGTAATCAATTAACCTCTTAACAATAATCTTGCAATTATTTGCGGTCTACGTTCACTGTTTTTTTATTCACGTTCTAATCGACAAAAATAAATAACCACAACATGGTATATACTCATGTGAACGATGGCTCGTCAAGTGTGATTCTTATGAAGTGGCCTTATGTATATATGTGTACTTATATATGTACAAGAGTGGATATATGTATGGGAGTTATGGTGGGAGAAGAACGGAGTTTGAAGCTCTCTGGAAAAACTATGTAACGACACTTCTCACTGAGAGCTTAGATTGCTAAGATCACGTCATTGTAAACCTCAATTTTATATTTTGAAGCTTTTAATATTTTGTCAACTCGAATAATAAATTGAAACCAACTAAATAATTTTGATCAAAATTAAATTACGTCTAAATAGAATTCTTTTATTTAAAATTATTCCTTTCCCGCACTGAAACCGAGTATTTTAATACTCCCGGGCGAAAGAACTACAGTAAGTAAAGTGTTTTAAATAAATAAAAATAACATCCACTAGATGGAAGCATAACAAGACCACTAACGAGAACGAAAAAAAAATTGAAACTTTATTACGATTTCACTGATGTTTAAAAATGAACTAATTTTTCATTCACATAATCTATCTACAATTAATTGTAGATTAATAGATTTTAAAATGATATTTTAATTTTGAAAAAATTCAGCAATCAATTACCGTACAGAAATTTCGTAAGCGCAATAGTTTCAAAATTACATGTATTGACAAAATTTTTTTAGTTCTATTATTTTAGCTAACCCAATTAGTTACTCAACAATTTCTTATCTTGCTTATTTTACTTCATTTTTACTTTCTTAAATTCTCCACTATACTTTAATTTTATGATGCGATATTCTAGTTTCAAACAAATAGGATCTTTAATCATCAATTTCTTAAGGATGGATGAAAAATCAATTAACATTTTTTTTAAAGAACTTCTTTCTGTTCGAATTGTTTTCGTCGGAAAAAAATTTTTTTTTTCACATTCCATGAATATATGTAATGAATAATGTAAATATAAAATTATTATTATTAAAAAAAAAAAGCAAAAATTTTTTAAAACAAGTTTGAGAATTGTCTCAAAATTTGCCATCCACGTAATAAATCTCATTTTTTTTAATTTCCATCAACAATTGAATTTTTTTTAAACAGAAAAATAGTTCAATGAACTTACAAAATATTTAAGTTTGTAGTGAATATATCAAAACGTAAAAATCGCCCTGTACATTAATAATTTTATCAATATTTTTTATTTATTTAGAGTATTTTTGGGAAACAAAAAACCGTATAATGTCTTTTTTTTTTTACTTTTCATATGTCAGAGCTAATGACTAATGAATACTCAATAAAACAATATGATTGAGCTAAAAAAAATTACTATTATCTTTGATAAATTTTTTCTTAGGACTGAAAAAGCGTTTTTTTAAAGAGAAAAAAATTCTAATTAATTAATTAATTAATATGATTAAAAATATTGCGTCAAGTAGCTCACTTTTTTATTAGCTAATAAATTTTTCCCTAGGGAATACGCGCATTCTAAAATAAAAATAAAAGATATTTCTAGATAAATTGAAAATAATGGAATAATGAACCTGTTCTGTCTGATGTTCAAAAGGTAATTTTAGATCTACACAAATTAACGGACGGAAATCAATATATATTTTCATTTCTAAGAAAAAAAAATCATATGCTTTATTTCTGACGTGGTATTCACCTTACATAATAAGGGACTTTCGAGGTCTATACTAGCTCCATATAAAGTTTGATTAAACCCCATTCCGTATTTTGGATATTTTCTTTTTTAAATAATAATTGTAAAAATAGTTTTAATATATAATTACCGTGAATAGGATTTTAAAGCAACGAGGTATATAAAACACGAAAAGAATTATTTTTTGTAACTTGAAGTAATATATCTTGATTTAAATAAATAATTTAAGATTATAATAAATGGTACTAGAATTAATATTTAAAATATTATAAGTAGTAATCAATAATCATTAAAATGATAATTACGTAAAAAAACACGATTATCTAAATTACAGTCGAAATAACGAAAACTAGGTCGGTGGCTAACCTACTTTTCAGGTATAGTGTCAACGACATGTTAAGTGAAAAAAAAATATAAAAAATGATGAATCGATGTAGTGTAACATATAAAAAGTTTCAGTATTCTATGATTTTTTAATTATTCTATAAATTCACTCTGTAAAAATCGAAAAATATTCAACGATAAAAACTCACGGAAATCAAACAATATTATAAGCATTGAAGAAATGATTTTTATTAATCATATTTCAACTGATGTCTATGGCATAATCTTAGGGGGATATGCATTAAAAATTAATCAAATTTCGTATATAACAGTTTATAGTTTTTCAATACTTCGCACTTTAAATGATTGATGAGTTAAAAATATAAAATATATTATTTAAAAGAAAAAAATATTATAAATTATTTAGGCACATTAAATCGTTATTTATTCAATTATATATTTCAATTCACAAAAAATTAGTTAACTATATTAAAGAATGCACAGTAAAAAATTATTATCCGTCGTAGCGTCAAAAATTATTAGGCATAAATTTTTTATATATATTTATTACGCGTTTATCTATTATAAATCTAAATAAACTACACAAAAATATATATCTGTAATGTATCGTTAAACACAATTTGTGTAAGAATTGACGTAAAAGTTTTTACTGTGTGAGACTGTAAGATAATATTAAAAACAAATATTGGTAAGTGTATAGAATCGCAGCTCCACTTACTTTTGGGCAGAGGACGTCAATAAATTTTTTTTGAAAGTGTTTTATCTTTCAGTTCGTTAAAAACGTAAAGTATGTGAAGAATGCGAATCAATAAATTAGGAAAACTAAAATTCTTAGAGAAAATTTGTAAACCTTTCAGAAATTGATAATTTTGCGATTTTTGCTTAAAATTTTAATAATAAAAATTCTTTTAAACGACCATATCTTTTTTTCTTGATTTTTATCAAAAATAAAACACGTTAATAAAATTTTTTTTCGATTTCCCGAATTTTTTTTGAATATGTTGGTGGTATTATAATTTTTCTACTATGAAAAATCGTAAAATTAACCTATTCAAATCTCTACTCGATTTTGTTTTTTGTAACGGCGAATTTATAAATAAAATTTGAAAAATTATGAAAAATAAGTATTTGAATTTGAAAATCAAAATATGTATACCTGAATCGTTTATTATCGACATTTTTTGAACATCAACTTCCCAAGTACCTTATTATTTTTATTTTTATTTTTGAGCAGATTAAAAAACTAGACAATTTAAAAAATTGGCAAATTTTGATCTTTAATCAATCTGAAAATTAAAAAATGAAATTTTGTCAATACGTCAATTTTTCAAATTTTTACAATTTTTCTAATTTTGTAAAATTTGTTTTTTCAACTTAAAATTTCGAGCATGCGTGAAAAAATTCAAAAATTTTAATATGACTCATATTACATGAGTATTGAATAAATCAAACAATTATGTTCATCAATAGTTTATTAGGTGAAACAACAAAATAACTTACAAACTAAATTATCCCTTTTCTTTCTTACAAATTTTACAAATAGCTATTTAAACACTTTTTCAATTTCAAAAATTACTCGAATAAACTAAACCAATCAATCAAAAAATTAAATGATAAAAATATTGTTTGACCAAAAAACTGACCGAAGATTGGAGGGCGTACGTCAAGAGAAAGAAAGGCAACGAAAAAGAAGGCAAAGTAGGTGAAGGCATATTCGAATCCTCTGGTTGACTCAGTGTTCAGTCTTCAGTCCCATCCAAGCGACTGCTCAGATCAGTTACTGCTGGTTACTGCTGTTTAGTTGATGTATAAAATAGCGTCAAAACTGTGTTGTGTTGTACACCTTCAATTGGCGGGTGTTTTACTTCTAACAATAAAAATTTTCTTTGTTTTACAAGTTTCATAAGAATATTTAGATAATTCAGAAATTTTATTCACTATTTATCCATAAAGTTGCAAGTTTTATCAATCATAATCAAGATGTTATAATATAAAGTGTATTAA